GTCCAAGGAGAGTTTGGGCTATCCTCCGCCACTGTCTGGCGGAGCTCTTTAAGATCCTTAGCTTTCCATGGATACCATTCCAAGGGCCTGTTAGCCCCTGATGCCACATTGACCAGATACGCTTGGGGAAGCGAATCCTGTGGCCGAGAATCTGGGCTCTTGGGTGGCCCTTCCTTTCCAGAGGAGGTCTCCAAGTAGGTTACTTCCCCAGCCCTTGGCCCCTCCATGGGGTAGGGGTCTGGGTCTTGCAAGTTCCTCTCGAAGGTCTCGTAGGGTGCCGTACCTCCCTTCCAATCAGGGGAATAGGGAGGGGGTCTAGGACCGTCCGGGGCACCTGAGGAGCTGCCTCCACCCCTGCATGCACAGATAGTGCGTTCCAGGTCGAATTTGACCTGTTCCATTTCCTTCTCACTTTCCAAGGCATCTTGTACTCTTTATAGGCCTAATGTTGCCTCCTCCTCCTCCTTTTGTGAGATAGCATTACCCATACTTACGGTTTCACTTACCTGGAAAGACCGCTTAGCCTCAGCCGGTATGTTTTCCTTTCGAGCCCCACACTGGGTGCCAGATGTTGGGTCTTCGTCTGTCTTTGGACGGACAGGGTCCGAGGAAAGGTAAGTGTGAAGTGCAGCCGCTGGCCAGTTCCCCAGCCTCCCTTAGCCCAGGAGACAATCAGATGCAGCGGGGAATCAAGTCAAGCAGGAACTCGTTTATTAACAGGGAGCATCCCTTTTTTAAAACAAAAGACTGCATGGGAGGACAGGAAATGGAACCAACCAATCTCTGAAAGGCCACACCTTAACATGCACCTAAGCTTGAATGAGTTGTTGACACACTGAACCTAAACAAATCCGGCTCTGCCCACTCAACTTCCTCTCAGGGCCATCTTTGCTACCTCCCATAAATATGTCTTAAATCTATAAGATAAAGAACTTGTTAGTAAAGTTGACATGTAGCCACATTGGCTGTGATTTAAATAAGGTTAAAAGTAATGCACTATAATTCCAATATTTCATTTTTTTTTGGTTTCTGTCAGTTGTGGGGCCTGAACTCTGGGCCTGGGCACTGTCCCTCAGCGATTCAGCTCAAGGCTAGCATTCACCACTTGAGCCACAGCTCCACTACTGGCTTTTTCTGCTTATGTGGTGCTGAGGAATCGAACCCAGTGCCTCATGCATGCAAGGCAAGCACTCTACCACTGAGAGACCTTCCCAGCCCCAATACCAATACTTCATACTTTATGCCAATTTCATATAGATGCTTCTCTCTTTCCCTTTCAGACAGACACTAAAAAGTAACAGTAATATAGGCAATGTGATTAGTATTCCTAAAAACTGCCCCTTGGGATGTATTAAAAATTAAAACCTTTAAAAGGAGAATTGAAAAGAAAAAAGGGTTAATCTGTATAATATAATTTGGTTTTAATGCTATTCTGCAAATAGATACAAATTGGGAAGAACAAGCTTGTTCTGAGATCCTTAGTTTATTAAGTCTGGGTTCTTGGTACAGTGATTCCTACATGTAAACAAAAACTATGCTATTTGAGGTTAAAGGTGTTCTAAGAGTTAAGTCAGACTACAGAAAAAAAAAGTGTCAGTTTTAAATTCCAGATGGCCAGGAGAGAAATGGGTGCTGCCCAGTGTTTCTAGGTTTCAAAAGTGTGAACTTAAATGCAAATTAGCAATGGGAGTGGCCTTTAAAATGAGGAATTGGAAAGAAAAGTTATCCAAATTATTTATTTCAAAGTGGAAAAGGGAAAATTAGGACTACTTAACATTCACTTCAAGTCGGGTGCTCTTGGTTCACACCTGTAATACTAGCTACTCAAAAGGCTGAGATCTGAGGATCGCAGTTGAAAGCCATCCTTGGGCAGAAAGTCTGTGGGAGTCTTATGTTCCATAAAACTACTCAGAAAAAGCTGGATGTGGGGCTATGGCTCAAGTGGTAGAGTGCTAGCTTTGAGCTGAAGAGCACAGGGTCAGTACCCAGGCCCTGAGTTTAGGCCCCAGGACTGACCAAATAAAGAAAGGGGTGGGGGAGGAGATGGGTAGGTCATTAGAGCCCCAAAGAACAGATAGCAATGACATTCTATACCCTTAATTTTGAAAATTTACTTTCTCCATCTAATACTTCAGCAGCAGATAAACTTTGGAAAGACCTGAAAAAATTGCCTCTTCACCTCAACCCATACGCTGAAAGGATGACATTGGTAATATCTAGAGACCCGGAACTGTCAAAGTATGGTGTGGTGTTTATTCCTGTGGGTGCACAGGTTCAGCGGACATCTCTCTACCTATCCTGAAATGAAAACCCAGAAATAAAGAGAAAATGCATCTAATCTACAGGAACCTCTGGAGAAAACCTTCAAGAGGATGAGGATAACTAAAGGCTCGGGGAGAAAGAGAAACAGCGACCCTTCCCACCTGGGGACCAGTGCAGAGCTTTCTCTAGAAGCTGAGAGATGCCAAAAGGACAAGGGACCGGAAGTGAATGCATCATCGTTGTTTATAATGATGATGGTGCTTATTCAGACTGCTGGTGCCTCCTGCTCAGTATAAGCCTCTGTTTGGGGAGTTCCTATGCTGGGTAAACTGTTGCACTTAAATTGTACTGTGATATGTAACAACTCAGAAATGGGACCTGTCCAGTGATATAAAGACGGAGTTAAAATATTTGGTCAGGCTGGCTGCCAGTGGTTCATGCCTGTCATCCTAGCTACTCAGGAGGCTGAGATCTGAGGATCGCAGTTCAAAACCAGCCCAGGCAGGAAGTGGTGAAAACTTGAAGTGGTGCTGTGGCTCAAGTCATAGAGCTCTACCTTTGAGCTAAAGAACTCAGGGATAGTGCCCAGGCCCAAAGTTCAAGCCCTATGACAAACCAAAAAAAAAAAAAAAAAAAGACCATGAATGAAACTTCCTTTTGTATCAAAGAAGGCTCTTCTGTGCAAAATGTTCTAACACAAAGTTTAGTAGGGCATGCTGTCAGTATAAAAGAGGTAAAACTATAACTCAGGATGAAATTGGTCGTCCAGAAGATGAGATTTTAGAGAATGAATTAACTTTGGACCTTGAATTTATAGTTCATTGTGAGTGTTCATATTTCAGCTGTGCAAATGACCTTAGCAACTGCTCATCACTGACAGGACTCTGTTTGCCTCAAGGAAAAATAGTCGGCATTGGCTGTTCTTTCTTTTGTGGATGAAAGGCAGGTGGCGCTCTAAAGAAAAATTATCTGTGACTGTTATGTTAGGAGAATGGTGCCTCTCTGTCTCAGTAAATTTACCCATCAGAATAAGAGATGCATAAGACAAGATCTCACTCAAAATTGTGATAACTTAATGCTGCTAAATTCATAGGGCTGTAGCATCAGCTTTATTCTGCCTGTCCCTAGACTTGAAGAAGGTGTCCAGAAAGAGTGAAGCAGACTACCTTGTATTTTCAACCATGTAACAGATAAATAAATCAAGAAATCAATCAACAAATCAATCAATCAATCAAGAAATGAAGAAATGGAGAAGGGAAGAACAATAATTTGACTCATTGGAAGCGCCACAGATTCGTTGCTGTTGAAAAACCATTTAGGATGTGAACTATTTGAAGGACTGAGCTGCTTTAAGATAACTGGCAATTCTCAAAGGATTCAGAACCAGCTAGAGCAGCTCAAACAGGAGGTGAAAAAGTTAAAATTCAGTGATAACTACGGACTTGCAGAATAGTTTTCCTTTTTTTTTTTTGCTTTTTCTGGGTCCAAGATCCTCTATTTTATGGATTATCTGGCTAGCCTCCTGTTTATTTCAATATTTATCTTATAGCATGCAGCATATGCTAGCTCAACAAAAATGAGAATTATGCTTTCTGAAATCATAGGAAAAGGGGGCCTGTGAGAGCTGAAAGGATTGGGAGGATGGAAGGCCTCCTCTGAACATGAACTCTTAGAATCCAGAGAGCTTCCTGGAAAGGTCACTCCCTTCCGGATTGATAGGACTTCAGATTTCTTTCTTGGGTGTAGGCTAATTCCACATCAGACCTTCTGGGATCTTTGGGATAGACAAAAATCTATGTGAACTCTAAGTCATTTGCTGCTTAAACCTGCTGCTTAAGATGAGAGAGTTATTTATCACTTGAGGGAGATGACACCTCAGGATGGGTGCTTGTGATTAGTATTGTATTGTAGTATTGGTGCTTGTGATGTCAGGGAAATGGTGATCTCACTTTGTACACATATGCCCCTGTGCCCTACTCAATAAATACCTTGTCAGGGGCTGGGAAGGTGGCTCAGTGGTAGAGCACTTGCCTTGCATTCTCGAGGCCCTGGGTTCGATTCCTCAGCACCACATAAGAAACAAGCCGGAAGTGGCGCTGTGGCTCAAGTGGTAGAGCCTTAGCCTTGAGCTGAAGAGCTGAGGGACAGCGCCCAGGCCCAGAGTTTAGGCCCCACGACCAGACCCAAAAAAATAAAAAAATAAATAAATATCTTGTCAAATGGACTCAGGGCATTGAAGCTGGCAAATGACTTCAGGCTCCTGGTGCCCCAAACCTCAGTTCCAGGAGCTGGTGTCTGTTCCAGCCTCATCCCAGGTTGTCCCAAGTTGGGACAGAGCTTCCACGCAAGATCAATGCAGCTTAAGAAATCCCTTCCCCAGGACATCCAGCAAACCCTCAGGCAGCCTCCTGCCGTGGGCAGCCCACTGTCCACACCTGAGGGACCTCCACAGCCTTTCACCCAGGTCGTCTTTGCTAAACAGAACACTAAGGCATGTTTGTCAGCCCTCGGTGCCGTGGCCCCATTTATTTCAGCAAGAACACACACGGGTCCCTTTGTGCTCCTCACCTGCATGTGGCTGCCACCCGTCCTGGTGATTGCACCAAAGATGTGACAGGCAAAGTCAGACCTCCTGATTCGAGTGACAGACTAATGCTATGATCTCGGCCCAGTCCTGTCACCTCCATAAGATGGGGATACAAGTCTTCATCCCAACAGATAAGGAGCTAAATCTGGGCTTAGTCCCATGAGCACAGCTCCAGAGGTAGTGCCGCCATCTTCTCCCGGAATGTTTCCTCGAAGGCTTGGGTCTGGGCTGGGGTGTAGTGGTTCTTCCAGTCCCCCGTGATACCTAGGCCATGGAAAAACAATGACATCAGACTTGGTAAGGGCAGGAAAGCACCGTCCCCTGGTGTCCCTTCTGCCCTCTGCCTGCCCTGAGGGTGAGGCCACAGATCTCCCTGGGAGATGGACTCCACAGCCACCACGCTCCATGTCCAGTGCTCTCCTCTCAAGTTCTGCCCCTGCCACCAGAGGGGCACATCCTCCCCAGATGTGTGGCAGTCAGGAAGCTCAGCATGTGGTCTCATAGTCACACAACAGCATTTTTATTTAATAGGAAGTTGAATAGAGTTTTTATATAATAGAGTTCAGTGTGTGTACATGTGTGCATGTGTGCAAGTGTGTGTCTATACAAGAGTTTGAACTCAGGGCCTAGGTACTACTTGGGAGTTATTTTCTGCTCAAACCTCGTGCTCTACGACTTGAGCCACAACTCTATTTTCTGTTTTTTTGGTAGTTAACTGGAGAGAAGGAATATCCTGGACTATGCTATGCCGTCTGGATTTGAACTGTGATGTTCAGATCTCAGGTTCCTGGGCAGCTAGGATTACAGGCCTGAGCTATCGACACCCAGCTGGTACTTACACTTTGTTTTCTTTTCAGATCCACTTACTATCACATTATTTGTTTGTCTGTTGTAGGATTTAAACTCTGGGCCTGGGCACTGATCTTGAGCTTCTTTTGCTGAAGGCTTGGCACTCTACCATTGGAACCCCAGCTCCACTTCCAGTTTACTTTGTTTTCAACCAAGCTGGAAAGGAACAGACAGCTTGTTCCTGGCTGATCTCTGGCCAGAAGTGTTGGTTGGAGACCAGATTTCTTTCCCTGGCTTCTAGCACCTCCTTCCCTGGGACATTTCCTTACCTTTCCTGGTGATTTTGAAACCAGCAGGAACAAGTTCCTCTGGGACATCAGAGAGGTTGGACATCTTGTTCTCCTTCATTGCCTGGAAGGAAATGTTCTCCAGGACCAAGTCCAGCTCTCCCTGTTCCAGCGCCTTGCCCAAGAACCCACAGATCCTCTCTACCACGCTCCTTGTGTCTTAAGGAGAGAAAAACACAGCTCGGGTATGTGAGGGGACAACAGAGCAGGAGTGAGGAGGAGGGAGCAGGAGAAGAAACAGCAGAAGGCACTGGCAGGAGAGAGGATGGGTGCCCTGTGGAGTTGGGGGCGTGACTCAATGGGTAGAGCACCAGCCAAAAAGCAAACCTGAGTTCAAGACTCCATCTTGAAACAAAAATAAAAAAGAAAGAAAAGGAGGATGAGAGGAATGCAGGAAGGAATAACACACAACAGGATGTAGAAAGTTGACATAGAAGGTGGGATGTAGACTAGGGGGAGGATACTGGGGAAGAAGATATTGCAGAAACAGGGGAAGTGGTAGAAGGGGTGAAGAGGGCTGTGGTGGGGTGCATGTAAAATCAATCGTTACTTTTTTCATCTGCTCATAACTGAGGATCAGCAAGTTCTCCTTTTCCCTCATGGACATCCAGCCTTGGACTTGATCAAACCATGACCCGTAAGGCAGTGCAGGGGGAACAATGGGTCAGCGTGAAAAGTCTCCACCATTCCTGATCTGCATGGGGGTCTCAGCACCGATCGCTCTGGTCCCTGTCACCTTCAACAGGGTGTAACTGAGAAATAAGTCCTGTCTCCCTATAGCCTCAAAGAGAGAGCACTACCTGAGTACTGGTGGCTCATGCCTGTCATCCTAGCTACTTGGGACACTGAGATTTGAGGATCACTGTTCAAACCAGCCTGGGCAAGAAAGTCCATGAGACTCTTATTGCCAATGAACTACCAAAAAACCAGAAGTGGTGTTGTGGCTCAAATGGTAGAACACTAGCCTTGAGCTGAAGATCTGAGGGACAGTGCCCAGGCCCAGAATTGAGGCCCCGCAACCAACCCTCACCCAAAAAAAGAGCTGAGGAATATCACCCAGGCCCAGAGTTCAGCCCCATAACTGAGAGATATATGGAGGGGAGGGAGAGAAAGAAAGGGGAAGGAGAGAGAGAGGAAGGGACAGAGGGAGAGAGAAAGAAAGCAAACAGAAGCACTGTGGAGCCAGCATATGGATATCTAAGCAATTTTTTCCTGTAGCACAACCTTTGCCCCATCTGAAGCAGGTCACCATAGGCCACACCAAAACTTCTGACCGGGACAAAGAGCTCTGCAGGCCCTCACAGAACTCAGGCTGAGGGCCTTCCGTGCCAGCTCCGCCCAAGTCCATCACTTGCACAACTGAGCACAAGTCTGAGTGCAAGGTCTGAGCTGTAACAGAAGCAAAAGAGGCACCTCCCATCCCTGCCCATGGCTCCCAGCAGGTCAGTCTGCAGAGGCCTTGGTGTGCTTTATTCTACTTGAAACATCTTTCCTTGAAATCAGGGCCAGAACACTGTCCCTCGGTTTCTACACTCCTCTCTACCAATTGAGCCACACCTTCACTCGCTGCATCATGATGATTGAGTGGGTATGAGAGCCTCAAGGACTTTCTGCCTGGGTTGGCTTCCAACTCTGACCCTCAGATCTCAGCTCCTGAGTAGCTGAGATTATAGGCATGATCCACCAGCTCTGACTATAGATCCAAGTGGTAAGAGATGTTGGATCAGGGGAGAAACAGCTCACCAAGCACTTCTACTGGTTGTGAAGCTAAACCCAGAGGGCCTGAGACACCAGATGATGAGGTACATAGAGCACAGATGTGGGGTTCCCCCACCCTTCATACCCAACTCAGGCCATGGACCCCTGACAGAACCATGGACAAGTGACAAAATTACAAGCATGAGGAATGACCCAGAACTTTTGCATAACTAGAAACAGAGCGACCCCAACTTCAAGTGAGAAACTCTGACACGGACAGCAAAACAAATTTAAAACGTAAAAATACGTAGGGAAGGTAGAGTTGGGCTGTGTGGGAAGCCAGTGAGAAGCTGTGAGCCAACATCTGGGAGTAGAGCACACAGGAGGGGGCGGGTCCTCCATGGCTACGGAAGCTCCAGGGGCTCAAAACCCCTTGGGACCTTCCATCATGGGAGAAGTCTGGTGCTGCCTTTAGCCAATGTGAGTTCTGTGAGGAGGAAGCATTGGACCCACAGATGGTGAGATTTAAAGGAGACCTTGGAGGGAGGGGACACTTAAAGAGTTTAAATCCTTCTCCATTCCCTTCACAGTCTACTCACCATGTCCTTGCAAGAACCATTCAAAAAATTGTTCCAGTGACTCTGGTTTCTTAGCCAGATTTGTAAAATGCCAGAAATAATAACCAGATGCAAGGACATCATTAGGATTCCTGATGACATAGATCACCTTCAAGGGAGAAAGGAGAGAATTAAACAATATTCCCATCATTTCTTGCACTCTTGGTGTTCAGAGAAATTCTAGCCATTTTTTGCTCCAACATTGAAATATCTGTTGATCTTTTGGTTGTGCATTAGTTTGTGAAATACTTTTCAGAGTTCCTACAATCCAATCACTTTGCCAGGAATAAAACAATGGTGGGACAATGGATTTCCTAAACATATCTGGGATATTTATCTAGAAAGCACTGGAGATCAGACGCTCTTTAGTCTTTGCTGGCTGTAGTTTTATGATTGTTCTGTAAACATCATTGAAACATCTGGACATGGGTGGCTCTCACCTGTAACCACAGCTACTCAGGCAGCTCAGATCTTTGGATCATAGTTTGAATTAGCCCAGGTAGAACAGCTCATGAGACACCCATCTTCAATTAACTACTTGAAAACTTCAAGGGGAGCTATGGCACAAACTGGTAGAATAATAGCTTTTTTTTTTTTTTTTTGGTTTTTATTTTTTTTTAATTTAATTTTATTTTATTTGAGAACATACAGTACAGAGGAGTTACAATTACATGGGCAGAATAATGCGTACATTTCTTACCAAGCATTGCAGCCTCCTCCTTTGTTTATCCTTCACCTCCCTTCCCAGCCTCCCGCCTCCCCCCCACCCAATCATACCCCCCCCACACCGACATTGTAAAGCTCGTTTTTGACATGACATTTTGTACTTCTCATTGTTGCAACAGGTCCACCTGAATCCTTAAACGACTTGTTTGTCCCCATCTCCTCCACTAGTTATACTGACATCAAATATAGTGAAAGCCGGGGTTGCACTGTGGGGGAGGGACATACAAAGCAACAAAGAAATAATCTTATAAATGCGTTAGAAACACGTGCATGAAAGAAAAAAAACATTAAAATACATATTTAAGGGTTCGTTTTCCTAACATCACATTATCTGACCTTTTCTGCTTGACTCAGACATATACTAGATATTGCAAATAAGGGAAACCATGGGACCTATGTTTCTTTGGGCCTGGCTTACTTCACTTAATATAATTTTTTCCAAGCCTTTCCATTTCCTAACAAATGGGGAAATGTCATTCTTTCTGATGGAGGCATAGAATTCCATTGTGTATATATACCACATTTTCTTGATCCATTCATCTACTGAGGGGCATCTGGGTTGGTTCCATATCGTAGCTATGGTAAATAATGCTGCAATAAACATAGTTGTGCTGGTAGCTTTAGTGTGGTCTTGTTTGTAAACATTTGGGTAAATGCCCAAAAGTGGGATTGCTGGGTCATAGGGGAGTTCTATGTGAAGTCTTTTGAGGAACCTCCATACTGCTTTCCAAAGTGGTTGAACAAGTTTACATTCCCACCAACAAAGAAGTAAGGTTCCTTTCTGTCCACATCCCCTCCAGCATCTGTTGCTGTTAGAGTTCTTGATTTTTGCCGTTCTAACTGGAGTGAGGTGATATCTCAATGTTGTTTTGATTTGCATTTCTTTTACGGCTAGGGATGTTGAACATTTCTTCATGTGTCTATTGGCCATCCTTCTTTCTTCTTCAGAGAAGTTTCTCTTTAAGTCTTTCGCCCACTTATTTATTGGGCAGTTGTTTCTTTGAGGATTTGTTGTTGGGGGGGGGGTTAATTTTTTGAGTTCCAAGTATATTTTAGATATGAGACCCTTGTCCGTTGTATGGCTAGTAAAGATCTTCTCCCAATCCGTGGGCTTTCTATTGATCTTGCTAGCTATGTCTTTTGCCCTGCAGAAGCTCTGCAACTTTATGCAATCCCATTTGTCCAACCTTTCTTCGATTTGTTGTGTTTCCGGGTCTCTATTCAGAAAATTTCGGCCTGAGCCAAGGAGACCTAGGGTTTCTCCTATTCCATCCTGTAATGTTTTCAGAGTGTCTGCTTTGAGTTCAAGGTCTTTGATCCATTTAGAGTTGATTCTGGTGCAGGGTGATATATAAGGATCTAGTTTTAGTTTTCGACATGTAGTTAACCAATTTTGCCAGCACCATTTACTGAAGAGGTTGTCTTTGTTCCATTCTATTGTTTTAGCTCCCTTATCGAAGATTAGATGGCTATAGGTCTGTAGGTTCATTTCTGGGTTTTCAATTCTATTCCATTGGTCCTGAGGTCTGTTCTTATGCCAATACCAAGCTGTTTTGATTACTATGGCTTTATAGTAGAGTTTGAAATCTGGTATTGATATTCCTCCAGCAGTGTTCTTTCCGTTGAGGCTATTCGGGGTCTTTTATTGTTCCATATGAATTTTTGGATTGCCTCTTCTATTTCCTTGAAGAATGAGGGTGGAATTTTGATAGGTATTGCGTTGAATTTGTAGATAGCCTTGGGAAGTATTGCCATTTTCACGATGTTAATCTTTCCAATCCAGGAGCATGGGAGGTTTTGCCATTTTTTAAGTTCTGTGTTGATTTCCTTTTTCAAGATTTTAAAGTTTTCATCATAGAGGTCCTTCACTTCTTTAGTTAAGTTAATTCCTAGGTATTTTATTTTTTGTGGGGCTATTATAAATGGAGTTGCTTTCCTAATTTCAGCCACACTTTTCTCATTGTTGGCATACAGAAAAGCCATTGATTTTTGGGGGTTAATTTTATACCCTGCTACTTTGCCAAAGTTTTGAATCAGCTTGAGTAATTTGGGAGTGGAGTCTATGGGATTCTTTAAATACAAGATCATGTCATCTGCAAAGAGGGAGAGTTTTATTTCTTCTTTCCCTATTTGGATCCCCTTTATGTCTGCATCTTGTCTTATTGCTGTAGCTAGGCATTCTAATACTAGATTGAAGAGAAGTGGAGAGAGTGGGCATCCTTGTCTTGTTCCTGAGTTAAGAGGAAATGGCTTTAGTTTTTCACCATTGAGTATGATGCTGGCTGTAGGTTTGTCATATACAGCCTTTATTGTATTGAGGAATGTTCCATGGATTCCTAATTTTTCCAAAACCTTCATCATAAAGGGGTGTTGGATCTTGTCGAATGCTTTTTCTGTGTCTATTGAGATAACCATGTGGTTCTTATTCTTGCTCCTGTTGATGTGATGAATAATATTAATTGATTTGCGTATATTGAACCAGCTTTGCATCCCTGAAATGAATCCTGTTTGATCGTGGTGTATGATTTTTTTGGATGAATTGTTGAAGTCGATTGGCCAAAATTTTGTTGAGAAGTTTTGCATCAACTTTCATCAACGAAATGGGTCTATAGTTCTCTTTCTTTGATGAGTCCCTGCCTGGTTTTGGGATGAGGGTTATGATGGCTTCATAGAATGTGTTCGGTAGTGAACTTTCTCTTTCAATTTCATTGAAGAGTTGGAGGAGAATTGGTATGAGCTGTGCTTTGAAGGCCTTGTAAAATTCCGCTATAAAGCCATCTGGTCCTGGACTTTTCTTAGCTGGGAGGTCTCTTATTGCTGTTTCTATTTCAATGCTTGATATGGGCCTGTTAAGATAGTTTAACTCATCTTGGTTTAGTTTTGGCATGTCAATATTTGCTAGGAAGAGGTCCATTTCTGTCAAGTTCTCAAACTTATTAGCATAAAGTTTTGAGGAGTATTCCCTTATAATGTTCTGAATCTTGGTTGTTTCCGTGGTGATGTTTCCATTCTCATCTCTGAGTTTATTAATTTGGGTGTGTTCTCTTCTTTTTCTGATAAGATTTGCTAAGGGTCTGTCAATTTTGTTAAGTTTTTCGAAGAACCAACTCTTTGTTTTGTTGATTCTTTCTATAGTTTTTTTGGATTCTAATTCATTTAATTCTGATTTAATTTTGATTATTTCTTTCCGTCTACTGGATTGGGGTTTATCTTGCTGCTCTTTTTCAAGGAGGTTTAGATGTGTCATTAAATTGTTGGTTTCAGATCTCTCCAATTTGTTGATGTAGGAGCTCAGAGCTATAAACTTGCCTCTGAGTACTGCCTTTGCTGTGTCCCAGAGGAGCTGGTAATTTGTGTGTTCATTTTCGTTGAATAGCATGAACATTTGAATTTCCTTTCTAATCTCTTCCATGACCCACTCATGATTCAGTAGTGTGTTGTTCAGTCTCCATGTGATATCGGACTTTCTTTGGTGGCTTTTGGTGTTGAGTTCTAATTTTATTCCCTTGTGGTCAGAGAGAATGCAAGGTATAACTTCAATGTTTCTGAATTTAGACAAGTTTGCTTTGTGGCCTAAAATGTGGTCTATTTTAGAAAATGTTCCATGTGCTGCTGAGAAAAACGTGTATTCTGATGCTGCTGGGTGAAATGTTCGGTAGATGTCTGTTAAGTCTAGTTGATCTATGCAGCTGTTTAGATCTGCGGTTTCTCTGTTGAGTGTTTGCCGAGTTGATCTATCTAGTGGGGAGAGTGGTGTGTTAAAATCCCCAACAATTAAAGCCTTTGGATCTATATGGGATTTGAGGGAAAGTAGTGTTTCTTTGATAAATTTGGGTGCTCCATTGTTTGGCGAATAGATATTTAGAATTGTAATATCCTCCTGAAGGAGAGATCCTTTAATTAGTATGTAGCGACCTTCTTTATCTCTTCTCACGAATTTTAATTTGAAGTCTATTTTATCTGATATTAGGATTGCAACTCCCGCCTGTTTATGGGGGCCGTTTGCTTGGTAGATTTTGTTCCAGCCTTTAACATTGAAAATGTGTTTGTTTTTACGGGCAAGATGTGACTCCTGCAGGCAGCAGATAGAAGGGTCTTGTTTTTTAATCCAACTAGACAGTCTATGTTGCTTAATTGGAGAGTTCAGTCCGTTAACGTTAAGAGATAGGACTGAGAGGTATTTGGGAGTTCCTGCCATGTTATCCACCTTCTTGGGGGCTGTGAAAACTGGGTTCTTCCTATGGTTCTTGGATTCTCAGTTTGGGTGCAGTTTCTTGGCCTTTATTGCGGTCTTGTTGGTTTTCTATGTGTAGGACATCTTTAAGAATCTTTTGTAGGGCTGGTTTGGTGGAGATGTATTGTTTCAATTTTTCTTTGCTATGGAAGGTTTTTATTTGGCCTTCAGTTATGAAGGAGAGTTTAGCTGGGTACAGTATTCTTGGTTGATAGTTGTTTGTTTTTAGGGCATGGCATACATCATTCCAGGCTCTTCTTGCTTTGATTGTCTATGCTGAGAAATCTGAGGTGATTCTAATTGGTTTCCCTTTATAGGTGATTAACCTTTTCTCCTTGACAGCTTTAAGGATCTTTTCCTTGGTCTGAGTTGATCCTGTGTGGATTATAATGTGACGGTGGGATGTCCTATTCTGGTCTGGTCTATTTGGGGTTCTAAAGGCTTCTTGTATCTGAATAGGCCTATCTATTTGCATGTTTGGGAAGTTCTCTGCTAGGATCCTGTTAAACAAATTTCCTAGACCATTAACTTCTGTTTCTAGGTGCTCCTCTACACCCATTATCCTTAGATTAGTCCTTCTGATGGTGTCTTCCACGTGTTGGATAGATCTATCATATTTCTTGGACTTGTCTTGGATGGTTGTATGTTCTTTCTCTATAATATCTAGGCTGTCTTCAATCCCTGAGATTCGATCTTCTGCATGGTGTAACCTGCTGTCAAGACTCTCTACTTTGTTTTTTATCTCTTTTCCTTCTAATTGGTCAGCTTTGATGGCTTCAAGTTCTTTGTTGAAGCTCTGTTTTAGGTCTTGTATGAATTTCTTTAATTCCTTAATTTGGTGTTCAGTATTTGTTCTGAAATCACATAGTTGATTGGTTATGGTTTCTTTGGACTCCCATTCCTTCTGCTGGGTTCCATTCAGCATTCCCTTTGTGTTCTCCCTTACTTTCTTCAGCTCTTTGTTAATGGATTCCATGAATGCCTTTAGTGATCTTTGTGTGTTCTCTACCTGGTCTCTCAATTCCTGAATTACTCTTTGATTAGCTTCCTCCCGTTCGTGGGTTCCTGCAGTTCTCTTTCCTCCCGTTCGTGGGATTCCTGCAGTTCTCTTTGAGTGTTCTCAGCCTGCTCACGCTATTCCTCCCTTTCTCTTTGAGTAATCTCAAGTTGTTCATGCAAATCCTGTATCCGTTTTTGAGTAGCTTCCTCACGCTTATGATATTCCTGTATAAACTTCTGGGATGCCTCCTCTCTCTCCCTTTCACGCTTATACAGAGTCCTTTGTAAGTTGTCAAACTTCTCATTTATCATGTTTGCCAGCAGTGTTTGTAGAGCTATTTGGGAACTCTCCTCTGGATTATTCATTATCTGTTCTAACCCCTGATTATCAAGATTGGGAATTGAGATACCCGAATTTGCCATTTTTCTTGTGTTTTTCCGGCTTACTCTGCCCATTTGAGATGAAGATAGCACCAGTTTTGTGCTAGAACACTATGTTAAGGCAACCATCAACCAAAGTTTGCATTTGTATAGTCAATAGTCTACAGATACAATCTAGTTCAACAGATACATCTATTCGACATCAAACAACTATATGTTAAAGGACTTCGAACCGCAGAGAAGAATTTGGAAAACCAGAAATTATTAGGGTTAGGGAGAGATGTGGGTAAAAAATAGGGATAGACTGGTGTGGGGAGGCACAGGGAGAGTTAACTATGTCCTAATCACAATGCAGGAAATAGGTTGGGTAGGATGCAAGTAGGGAGAGAGAGAAAAAGAAGAAAGGGAAAGGGGAGTGAAAAGAGACCAGAAAAAAAATAGAAACATAAAAATTAATGTTATTATAGAGATTAAAAGACCATCTATTTAGAGAGGAATGTGAATATATTGAGAGAAGGTGAGGGACATAGAGGAGATGTGAAAAACTTAAAAACTGCTTAAAATATTATATAGGTATAAAGAGGTAGTACTGCTATTAAGGAATTTAAGTCTCAAAGGTTTTGAATTGAGTAATAAATTTGTGGATTAAGTGTGTACACAATGGGGGATAGGGTCTACTAGTTAACTACGGGTTTATCTGAGGATGTGCAGGACAAGAGTTAAGTCACATAAAGAAGAACAAAAGAGAGGAAAAGGTGGAAAGGTTAGGAAAGGGAGAAGAAAAGATCAGAAGTTCAGTAGAGCTAGACAAAAAACAAAAAGATAATTAAGAAAGAAAGAAAAAGAGAAAGAAGACAAGAAAAGAAAGGAAAACGCACATTCACGTATTCCTAAAATAAAAATTATAAGAGGAGAAAAAAAAAGTTACTGGAAAACAATTATTTTTTCAAAAGAGGCAAAAATTAAAGATTAATAAAAGTTTTAGAAAAGGAAAAAATTTTTTTTATATATATAAGGTACCAAAAAAAAAAAAAAGAAGGAAAAAAAAAAGTTCTTCGATTTTTTTGGGAGGGGTGGGAAAAATCCTGTATCTCCCTTGTGTCTGTAGCCAGCCTCTTGTTGGAGTCTCTGGTCTGCTTGAGGTCCTGTGGCTTGATTGGTTTCTTAAGTCAGATTGTTTGAACAGGCAGAAAAATGCTCTGCTTTACCCAAGATTTTGAGATCTCCTTCCCAGGTTAGTTTAATGGGAGGGTGATCTGGTTTGAGAATCACAAGAGGGGAATGCAGTGATGAGGCTAGGTTCTGGGTAGACTTGAGGCCTTTCAACAAACAGTAGCTTTTCCCTGGGGCTATTTTGTGAAAACCTCACAGAGCCCAGCCTGGAGCCATTCTCAGGGTTTCTGTTTTTCAATTGATTGTGGAGGCTACTAGAGGAAGGGGCAATCTCTGGCTCTGGTTACCCAGTGCAGAAAGCCACTTCTATGGCTGGCGCCCGAGCTGGGTGACTTTTCCCTGGATGGAGCTGAGTCTGGCAGGTCACTCCGCCGTTAAGTTCTTGTGAACTGCTAAATGACCCATTTTATTCCAAGGCCTGAGCTGGAGCTCACAGCTTCGCCGAGCTTTGTCGGTATCCAAGATGGAGATCACCGGTGCTGGGGGGGGAGGGGTGGCCTTCCCTCCTCTGCTCCCTGAGAAGGAGTGAGGAAGTCGGGCTTCTACTCACGCCGAGTCTTGGTTCCTGGGTCGTCTCTGGTCCCCAAACTGCAGGATGAAGATGTTTGCTCCTTGTCCGTTCTTGCTGGTGTTGAATAGAATCCGCTCGCCAGCCGCGTCTGGCTCCTTTGTCCCGGACTCTGTGGCTCAGTTATGGTGCCCTGCAGTTGCTGCTGCGACCGCTGCCGCCACCGCGGCGGCTGCTGGCAAGCGCTCAGATGTGTCTTTTTGCCTTCATTTCCCCTCTCTTGCCTAAACCTCTGTCCTGTGATGGCACACTTGGTGTGGTTCTCTGGCTTAGGGCTGTTCACTGGAACTCTAAAACTGCTTTCTATGTGAGAGCTTGTTCAGATTCCAGCTTCTCCTCCGCCATCTTCCCTCTTCCTCTCAGAATAACAGCTTTGAGTACAAAAGCTCAGGGACAGCTGTGAGTTCAAGTCCCAGGAGTGGCACAAAAACAAAACAACAGAAATCCATTGCAGGAGGGAGCTGAAATGATTAAAACAGAGATGTCACAGCACAGGTGCCCATTTCCATGGTGTTCAGGAGCAAATCTAGGTAGCATTGTGCCAGGGAAGAGTGTGCATCGTGTGTGGTGTGGACTGGGTTGGGGAAGCGGGACAAAGGCTCCTGGTCTGATCTGGCTATGAGCAACAGGTGTTTATTCACTGCACAGCCTTCAGAGTCAGGCCACTGATACCAGGTCACATGACATTGAAACCACACAAGCCCAGTTTTCTTTTTCTTTTCTTTTTTTTTTTTTAGTCAGGGCTTATGTGCTGTCCCTGTGTTTTTGTTCTTAGGTTGGTGCTTTACCACTTGAGGTGCTGCTCCACATCTGGCTTTATTTTTGATAGCTCATCAGATATAAGAATCAGCTGGCCTTTCCTACCTGGACTGACTTCTGATCTTGATCCTCATCTCAGCCTCCTATTTAGCTAGGATGACCATACAAGGCCTGGGTATCCACTTAAAGCACAGTTTGTTTAGTCTTTCAGTTAGTCATCCTGTTAACCTGTCAGGGATTACACAGCCATGGTCCACATCTTGGATTCTGTTTAGTCTGAGGACCCTCACCTCATGAAGGAGAGTCTGGGATCCTCCATGAACTACAGAGGGAGAATGCCAAACCTGCTGGCTATGTGCATTTTTAAGAGGAAAAGGCCTTGATGGAACAGTTATTGGGCACTGAGCACTGACCTTGCCTTTGGAAGTGAAGAAAGACTTGGGGAAGAGTTGGATGGGGAGGTGGGAGGAGAGGAGGGGGGGACCCTCCTTCCTCTCCACTTTGAATTTATATCCAGTTTCAGTCTCGATCCATTGGGAACGAACATATGTCGGTACAGATCGAATCCAGTTGGGATCCCCCTTGGTGTGAATCAGAGACAGAACCTCAATCAAACAATGGGTTCCTGGAGCAGAAAGAAAAGCAGAGATCACTCATTTCTGTCTGAATACACAATATTATATATATATATATACACACACACACACACACACACACACACACACACACACACACACACACATATATACATACATGCACACACACAGATATATAATGGTAAAGCATATGTAACATAGACCTTACCGATATAAACTTTCTCAGGTATCCAATCTGATATGGATAAGTAGTGTTTAGTGTATTTTAATCATAGCTCACTCAGTGCCGGTATTTTGTCATCTAATAAGTCTACACTGTCCATGACAACTGAATATTGATATGCTTGCCACCTGCCCTGACCCCCATCATTCTATTATCACACCAGGACTTTGGCAGTTCTGGGCCTTGTATGTGAGTGCAATAGTACACAGTTTGTTTGTTTGTGTTTTGAACTATGGCCTGGACTCATGTGGTTTCAATTGGCAAAATGTCCTGATAATAGTAGAGCATGGGTCTAAGTAGGAAGCATTATGCTCACCTTTGGTCCTCAGCTCCACCCATTTCTGAGCTGCTCCCTGCTCTGGAGATCTTGCCATACAGCTGACCCCTCCCTCTCTCCACCCAGACCGACCTGAGCTCCCACCTACCTCACTTCCAACCCCCTGCCCCTGCTGCTGCTAGATAATGGAGGTGGTCATGAGCTCTCTCTCTGAGGGAGATATGGCTCCTTTAATAAACCTTGTAACCATCTTTCTCCTGTGCCTGCCTGCCTCCGCATGGTCCCCTGGGAAGGAAGTGATGGATCCTTTCCTGAGCTGTCTGCATTTTCAACAGTGTATAATATTCCACTTTGATCTCTCAACTTGTTTGGGATTGTGCAGCCATTTCTCTGTGGATATTTGGGTTCAATGCAGCTGTCAGCTGTTGCTGAAATCCTGCAGTGCCCCCACTGGCTGTGGTTTTCAGCACATTTCCCTTGCAGTGTGCCCTCAGTGCTCCCTCCCCACTCCCCGGGCCCCTTCACACAGGCTCCCTGGCCTGCCAGTGCCTTGTGTTTACTTCAAGTTTTCCAGGTCCTACCTATGGCCCATCATGATTCTTCTATTTGAGATCATGCCTTTTCTCCAGTTATCCTGAAAATCATCCTTTTCATTTTATGAACTATGGAGCACGTCAAAAACACCTATTTAAAAAACTGTGCTGCCAACCCTGGAGCTTGAACAGGGCCTGGGCGCTATCCATGAGCTGTTGCGCTCAAGACTGGCACAAAACCACAGGGCCACAGGTCTTCAATAATGAACTACTACACCATTCCTACGTGGAACACAGTTGGGAGTGAGGCCACAGCTCTGGCCTTTCCGCCCCAGCCACAGCTCCCTCTGCTCACCTGATTTGGGATAGGTCACCGTGATGATGTCTTCATCCTTCAGCACCAGCTCGTCCTGGACTGCTTTTATATGTTCAGGGCAGATATCCAAAACAGGGAAAGGAATGCCCTGGAACCACACGTAGTCCTGAGCCATGGCAGAGCTCTGGGTGCCTGGCTCTTGGTCCCAGGCCACTGGCACTGCCACTGTGGAAGTGGTGGCTGAGTCTGGATGGTGAAGACAATCATTAACTAAGATTAATTGATGATAAAAAAAAACCCTGTGATTTTCCCCACGGATTTTTATTGGGCAACTGTGATATCATGTAAAGGGTGAACTGTGCTCATCTGATCTTCAGTTCATGGCAGAAAACTAGAATTACAAGAGGGAATAGGCTAGGGCATAAGATTAACTAATATTTTTTAATGCACTAATCCTATATTTTGGGAAGAGTTGTAGATATTAGAAAAAAATCATAGAGAGGGAAGGGCTGGACTTCTGGATCAACACCCCAAGTTCAATCTACTAATATCACTCCAAGATCTTTACCAAGATTCATCAATGCATTGTCTTTCCAATTTCCTCTGTTTCCCCTAGGATTTCTCTCCACTCCAGTATGGCAGCATTGATCCCCCAGGTCATGGGTCTCCACAATTCTTCAGGCCCCTGGACGCAGGGACAGTTTCTCAGACTTCTTTTCTTTATCCTGACTTTGCAGATTTGACAAACAACAAATACTTCTGTAACTTTATGGGGATGGTGTGAGTGTGTGTGTGTGTGTGTGTGTATACACACCACAGAAACTGATTTTTCTCCTTTTCTTTCTTCCTTCCTTCCTTCCTTCCTTCCTTCCGTCTTTCCTTCCTTCTTTTCTTTCTTTAGTAGTTGGTCATGGGGCTTGAACTAACCCTGGGTCTCTCAGTTCTTTAGCTCAAGGCAAGCGCTCTACCACTTGATCCACAGCACCACTTCCTGCCTTTTCTGTTTACGTGGTGCTAAGGAAGCGAACCCAGGGCCTCATGAATGTGAGGCAAATGCTCTACCACTGAGCCACTTTCCCATACCCAGGAACCGATGACTATGATGTTCAGGAGCGGTGAAATCTAGGTAGCATTGCACTGAGAACTCTTTGGGGTTGTGCCTTGTGTAGGTTGTACCTGGGAAGTGGTATGTTCTCTCTGGAGGATAAAGTCATTTTTTTTTTTTGCCTTCTTTGGGATTGAACTCAGGACCTGGGCATTGTCCCTGTGTTTTTGTGTTTAAGATTAGTGCTCTACCATTTTAGCCACAGCTCCAGTTCTTGTCTTGTTGGAGATAAGAGTCTCTTGGCCTTTTCTGCCTGGGCTGGCTTCCAACTTTGATCCTTACTTCCGGATTAGCTGGGATTACAGGTATGTGCCACTGGTGCCTGGTGCCTGCCTTTTTTTTTTTTTCTCTTCCAGTCCTGGGCTTGAACTCTGGGTCAAGGTGCTATTCCTGAGCTTCTTTTGCTCAAGGCTACCACTCTACCACTGGAGTCATAGCACCACTGCCAGTTTTTTCTGTTTATGTGATGGCAAGGAATTGAATCCAGGGCCTCACGCTTATGAGGCAAGCACTCTACCACTGAGCCAACTTCCCAGCATTAATTTTTTTTTGGCTCTCATTTTATTGTAAAGATACTGGACAGAGAGGTTACAGTTACATGAGTAAGGTAATGCTCAGGATTTTGTTAGTGCCACTCTTGTGTTATGTGCTTCTCATGGGTCTGAGTTGTCTGCATTTTCAATGCTGAGCAATATTTCATTTTGATCTCTTAACCTGGTTTGGATGATGCAGCCATTTCTCTGTGGATACTTGGGTTTAATTTCCTGGCACTCTACCGTGTTAGCCACAGGTCTTCAATAACGGAGCTACTATATGGTCCCTATGTTGTAGACAGCAGGAGGGAATGGGGGCTGCAGGCCTGGAGGTTCCAAGGCAGAGCACTGGAAGTGGAGCTCTGGCTCGGGTGGTAGAGTGTGAGCCTTGAGTGAAAAACTGAGGGACAGTGCCCAGGCCCTGAGTTCAAGTGTCAGGACCAGCAAACACTTGAATAACATAGCGCTTGATACATTCCCATACTTACATTTTTTACTGACTTTTGGTATCAGACCCAGCAGTCTGGAACCCACAGGACATGAATGTCTGGCAGGGCATTATGGGGGAATTGACCACCCACATATCCACCCAGGGCCTCGGCTGTGACCCCGTGAGACCTAGGCTGTGATGTCATCGCACCCTCTCAGATGTGATAGGGTCCCCTGAGAGGCGATCTCTCTTCTACTCCTGACTGGGGAAACGTGACCAAAGCCTGCCTAAAGCCCAGTCAATAGCTACAATTTGAAATGTGGTGAGTGAGGAAGCTCATCTCCAGGCTTTGAAAAATAAACACGTCCCCATGATCGACAAAAAGAACAACAAATACACAAACAAAAAAAGCACCATAGACATTCTTGGGGCTGGGAAGGTGGCTCAGTGGTAGGGTGCTTTCCTTGCATGCATGAGGCCCTGGGTTTAATTCCTCAGGACCACATAAGCAGAAAAAGCCAGAAGTGGCGCTGTGGCTCAAGTGGTAGCTCACTAGCCTTGAGCTGAAGATCTAAGGGATAGTGCCACTGACTACAGTTCAAGCCCCTTGACTGATCAAAAAAAAAAAAAAAAACATGACTACCCTCCCATAGTAATTGAGGAGGACCAGTTTACCAGACAGGGGTGTTGTCTGAGAGTGGTCCTACAGGTAGGTACTGGGCAAAAATGAAGTGATTGATCAGGTATCAGAACAGGGAAGAGGTAACACAGCCAGGATAAATAGCTATCAACTCTGTACATAGCAGGCAAGGAGGCCTGGAACATTTGGTTGATTTCAGAGCCCGGTTAAAGATTATCTTCATAAAAGTGTAACTGCAAACTGAGTTAAGAGACTAACTTCTCCAAATATATACCATTTAAGGATGCTAATTTAGTGTCCAAAGGTTTACACTCCATCGAGTCTGCAAACGGTGATGTTACAAATCATATTGAAGTCTGTAATGACATTGGCTCCTCTGCTGCAGCCATAATGGGATCTACCATAAAATGTCTTAAAATTTTTTAGATGTGAAAAAAATGGGATACATAAAAAGGAATTGTTCAAAAGGTAAGAACTCCTAGCAAATTCAGAGCCTTGTACAAGTTAAATAACCCTCTTGGGATAGGATGGAGGTTGCCAGAACCTTCTATAAACTTCTCTTACATCTATAAATTGATTTAGGAAGAGTTCTCTCTTTTTGCCCAATTTTCTTTATAGACCCTGAAGACTAGAAGTCTCGGACATGTTCAACGATCCATTTGTATACTAATATGCCTTGCTAACAAAGTTGTCTAAACATTTTCTGTTCTTTGTCACCTAGTTCTCAAATAGCTGTGAAAAATATTGTTTATTGTGTTTGTATTTTGTCTCATAGTTGGCTTTGTGTTGTCTGTCTAACACTGACCATACAGTTTTAACATATCCGACAAAACAATGGTACTTTGTGATTGGAATTCCAAAAGAATCTATTGCCAATATATATATATATATATATATATATATATATATATATATATATATATATATATATATATTTTTTTTTTTTTTTTTTTTTGTCAGTCATAGGGCTTGAACTTTGGGCCTGAGCATTGTCCCTTAGCTCTTCAGCTCAAGGCTATCCACTGTGCCATTTCCAGTTTCTTGGTTGTTAATTGGAGATAAGAGTCTCATGGACTTTCTTGCCTGGGCTGGATTTGAACCTGGATCTTCAGTCTTAGCCTCCTGAGTAGCTAGGATTACAGCTGTGAGCCACAGACACATGGCCAAATTTCATTTTCATAATCTAATTGAGCATTAGAACTCTTGTACATAGGGGCAGGGAAGGTGGCATTGTGGTAGAGCGCTTGCCTTTCATGCCTGATGCCCTGGGTTCGATTCCTCAGCACCACATGAGCAAAAAGAAAAAATCCGGAAGTGGTGCTGTGGCTCAAGTGGTAGATCACTAAACTTGAGCTAAAGAGCTGAGGGACAGGGCCTAGGCCCAGAATTCAGGGCCAAAACCGGACTCAAAACAAACAAACAAAAAAACCAAAAAATGGCAAAAATCAAAAAAACTCTAATACATAAGTATGAGTGTAAATGTATGAGAAACCATTCAAAATAATCTTGTGTTTTAGTGCTTAAAATCTGTCATGATGGTGTAAAAAAAAACAGGTCTGGGAAGGTGGTTCAGTGCTAGAGTGCTCACCTTGCATGCATGAGATCCTGGGTTCAATTCCTCCCTACCATATAAGCAGCAAAAGCCAGAAGTGGGGCTGTGGCTCAAGTGGTAGAGCTGAAGAGCTCAGGGACAGCACTTAGGCCCAGAGTTCAGGCCCCATGACCGACAAAAACAAACCAATACAAAACCAAACACCAAAACAAGTTTCCTTGAGCTGAAAAAGCATTTAGGAGGTAAGACTTGTCTTAAATGTCTGTTTCAAAATATAGAAATGAGTAAGACTAACCACTTAAGGTTCATGTAGATCTCTGATGGTATGAGTATGTCTTAAATCTATAAGATAAAGAACTTATTAGTAAAGTTGATATGTAGCTACATTGGCTGTGATTTAAATCAGGTTAAAAGTAATGCACTATAATAGAAATATTTCATACTTTATGCCAATTTCATATAGATGCTTCTCTCTTTCCCTTTCAGACAGACACTAAAAAGTAACAGTAATGTAGGCAATGTGATTACTATTCCTAAAAACTGCCCCTTGGGATGTATTAAAAATTAAAACCTTTAAAAGGAGAATTAAAAAAAAAAGGGTTAATCTGTATAATGTGTTTTGGTTTCAATGCTATTCTGCAATTAGATACAAATTGGGAAGAACAAGCTTGTTCTGAGATCCTTGGTTTATTAAGTCTGGGTTCTTGGTACAGTGATTCCTACATGTAAAGAAAAACTATGCTATTAGAGTTTAAAGGTTTTCTACGAGTTAACTCAGACTACAGAAAAAAAAAGTGTCAGCTTTAAATTCCAGATGGCCAGGAGAGAAATGGGTGCTGCCCAGTGGTTCTAGGTTTCAAAACAGTTAACTTAAATGCAAATCAACAAAGGGAGTAGCCTTAAAATGAGGACTTG